TTTCATAAAATTCCAGTTCAATCTGTCATAAGCCTTTTCCAAATCAACTTTGATAGCTAAAAATTTTCCCCCTTTCATTTTATGCATATTGTGTACCAACTCTTGTGCAATAATTATGTTGTCATGAATTTGTCTATTAGAAACAAAACTAGCCAGGTATGGAAAAATTGCCTTTTCTATAATGGGCTGCAGGCTGCAGCCGTTTAATCATGGTTATAGAGATCAACTTGTATATGACAAAACATAGAGATATCAGTTGGAACTGGGACATTAAAGCAGGTACCTAGACTTTAGGAATCAACACAAGGAGGGTAGAATTCAAATGTTGGATATGCGCTAGATTTTTTTATACATCCACTATTAGTCTCATAATTTGGTCCCGTAGAAGGTTCCATTTTCTTTGTAAGAAAACTGTTGGAAAGCTCATCTAGGCCTGAGGTTTTATAGCTTCCCATATTAAACAGACATTGACGAACCTCCATGCAAGATGGCATCCTGTATAGACCGTCAAGAAGCTCTCCAGGGATAACCGGCGACTAGGATGTGAGCCATCTGCGAGTAGGGATATCATCCGTCAACAGCTTATTAAAAAATTTGCACACCATAATTTTCAGTTGTTGTTAATCTTGAATCCATATATTACTGTCATCCCGAAGCCCAACCATCTTATTGAAGCTGCGACGAGTGATTGTCATTAAGTGATAGAACTTGGTGTTGCGATTCCCATTTGTTAACCACTTATGACGAGACTTTTGAAACTAGAGCATCTCCTCCCTTTCTAAGATAGCAATCAGTTGTTGATGGCAATTATCTTCTTTAGCTTCCAATTCCCTTGAGTCATGCAGAACCCACGCTTGTTGGATTTGCTCAAGCTCTAAATTTAGCTCCTTTTTCTGATTAAAGATATCCTCATAAACCTCTTTATTCCATCCGCCCAAAGGATTAACAAACCTTGCAAAAATGATAGGGAGATCAGAACATGGTTCCTAATTATAGGCCATAAATTCAGAGAAGTCGAGGTGATTATGTCAATCTGCCAGAAATTTGAACAACCTAACTGAATTGTCTACCTGCTTACCATCTAACCTCAATAACATGAGTGTGTGGTTAGAATATAACTTGGTTAGGTTCATAACATCTGCTCTATAAAAAAAAAGCCTATAATTAGGACAACACAAACCCAACCTAATTTTTTGTTAACCCGCTCCAGATGGCTCCACTTCGGTCCCCTCCATGTGTAAAATGCACTAGATACTTTAGATCATCCAACTGCCAATTATCCAACCTTTCAGAAAATTGCTTGGACAACATTTGACGTGATTAAATTGCAAGAATAATGATATTATCGTGAATCCTCCGATCAATTTCAACATAGATGACCTCCTTTAATCGGATCAAAGAGATAAATTACCGAAGTTGCATATGAATTGGAATATATCACATAATTAAAAAATACTTTTATTTATCCTTTATTTCTTCACATCAAATCTTGGACATTTTTTTAGAATGTTGTTTATGTTCTTTTATACACTTATATTAATCCTTATTATTTCCTTTATGCTTATTTTCAATTTGTTCAGAAAAAATCGATATATTTGCCATACTAGTTAGGGACAATAAATGATTAAGAAATTTATGCATGATCATATGATATATTAAGATAGAAGATAATACATTATAGAAATATGAATGTAATTATATTTCACGTAAACATTGTATGCATATAAAGATCATCAATTGGATTATATTAAATTAGCATTAATAATTAATGCTAATGGTCATTTTGTCTAATCTCCCATAAAGAAGTTTGAACTCTGAAGTTTAATCAATCTTTTGTGGTTTGATTTCTGAACATATGCTTCTTGTCTTTGCTCATGCTAGCTATAAAAAGTTGTATTCTTATTTGAGAATTAAACTTCAATTAGGTTTCTTCGAACCTACTTCTCACATGCCAAACTTTAATTTTGATTGAATTAGTTCATAATTAACTATAGAGAATTAAGTTAAAGTAATATGAATTGCATGATATAGGTTTTACGCTTTTTTTTTTCTTTGGTCTTCTACCAGTACATCATCACAATCATATACCTTTACTAACATTTGAAAACTTTTCAAAAAGTAGTATAATTCTGTTACCATCACATTCAACCTCTATTGGTTGTTAATAAATTTGTTCATTTAACAAAATAGTAAAGTAATTTGTTCATTGAATTAAGGAAGTACGTTTTCCTTAATTTTAATACTTTAAAAAAAATGGTATAAAATAATGCAGTAGAGATGATGAATAAATATGGCTATCCTATTTAAAAAAGTGCATAATTTTTATTTTTATTTTGGTACAAGAAAAGTGCATAATTCTAATTGGATAACTTAAGATAAGATTTGAATTTACAAGCCGCAATACAGCACAAAGGAGGGGAGCATCCCTAACAGAACATTAGTGTGGAGCCCATCTCTTAATCATGATAGAGTGTAATATGAATAAGACTAATTAATGACAAAAAAATGTTGAAAGGGTCACAAATCACAATTATTACTAATCAGGTTTATCCATAAGTGTCTCTTATCAAAAATAAATCAAACAAGCCCAAAGAATTAGAGCAAAACATTGCTAGAGAAAGACAAACACAGAATGAAACATGTTGACCAAATGTTTCAAAGGTATATTGGTAGCCAGGGGGGGCACAGCAAGAAAGCATGCCAGCATCCCTTTAGATTTTTTCTTGGCCATGTTTTGGGTGACATAGGGGATTCCAACAAATCAAAAAGAAAAATCCTATTAGGAGTTTTGTTTCAATTATAATACATGTTTGCTGATCACCAGACTTTCTAATCATTTCTATATTATCTGGGTTAGTGAAAATGGACCTACAATCCCTACACTAAACATTTTGTCTTTCAAGTCAAATCTCTATTCCCTTTCATTTACATTAAGAATTTAATTTCTGTTAACCTTTAATATCTCTCACCCTCTCTTTCTATTTTTTTTTTGTCTCTTTTATACAGATTCACATGTGGCTATATTGCAGCAAATTAAAATAAGTCACCACATGGTGCATGAGATGTCAATGATGTGTTCCCTTAACACAGTCAAAGATGTAGTGGGGAAATATTTGAATCACCTGGAATGGGATGTTTCAGCTTAGGGTTAATTGCATATAAAATATTTAGGCATTACATGGAAAAGGAAAAATGTACTCCTCAAGAGATGGGATGGTCAACATTTTTTTTCATTGAGTATTGCTTTGAGGATATTGGTACTCTCCATGGAGCAGAATTTAAAAATATTGGAGTATCCCTTAAGATACATTTGAAAGCTTCTTTGTTTTAAGATTGAATCTCAAATGTCTATGTAGGAATCCAAGCATTATTAAAGGGACCACATTCCAAGCATGGCAAGTGGATTGGACACTTATAAAATGTTCGACATTATTAACGATGCTCTTAATTTTGTAAGAGATGGACATAAATATTTTATTATAATATTACTATTGTCTTTTTTCTTTTTTCCTTTTTTTCATCCATAGAACACCAATTGTTGATATTTAATATTGCTACAAAGTATGGTATTTTAATGTACAAAGCACTTTTACGATCTAGCTGAGGAATCAATTAGATAGTGTAGGCCATTGAGAATAAATTAAGGTCCATGCTTAGAGAGGAACAAACTTCTGCTTTAATTAGATTTCACTCGAACACAATGATTTGAAATTGGAATCCGGTTAAAACATGAGTTTATTTCATTAGCACAACAGTGGTTCAGCTAGATTGAATTGTGGTGATAATTAAATGCATATTTTTTTTAATTTATATAATATATTAAATAATAAATTAAATATCAATAAAACAATATACATTTCTAATTAAGTAATGTAACCGTATATTCAAGCTCAACATAACATTGACAAATATATAACATTAAATATTAAGAATTGGGGATATGATATTCTACCTATTATTTTTTCTGCCTACCTTTGTCTACCCTTTAAAACACCGTTAGATCAGAATTTTTAGAAGAGAGAGAAAGATAAATGTTAATTAAAATTCTGATGTAATGGTGTTTTAAGGTGGTAAGTAAAGATAGGCAGAAAAATGGTAGATAGAATAACCTATCCCTAAGAATTGTACTTAAAAATGAATCAAAACATGTCCTCATATTTAAATTGATTTCTTCTTTCTTTTAAAAGAAGAAGGAAAAAAACAACTAAAAATGGCATTTTTTCAAAAAAAATTGCTCCACACCAATTCGAGTTCTCAATCCATTTCAAATTGATTCTCTACCAATCACTTTTCAGGGTGTAAAAATATCAACAAGTGGTAAGTTGGCCTATTATTTGCTTCATTAGTGACCAGAGAAAGTTCAATTTTGAGCTAAAGTTCTTCATAAAACGACAAGAGCTGCGCATGATTTTCCAAGTCAAACATGAAATTATTGCAATTAAGCGAAAAAAGCCTAAATATTAAAAAGGCGCGCGTCTATACAAAAAAGAAAAAAGAAAAAAAGAGGAGCACATTATTATATTATTTCTTACACACATAAACATAAAGTATGTGAATTCCACATGAGTTATACGAAGAGAAGAGAAAAAAAAATATAAGTCCCACATTATTTTTTATGTGTGTAAAAGATAAATTTTTTTCTTATAACATAAAAAATACTAATCCTTATATTTTATCATGCAAATAGTAGGAGAAAATAAAAACAGCTTAATTAGCAGCCCATTAACCTTCATAGTTTTGCTGCCTTTAATTGGGTTGGGCTGCACAATTTAGTTTGAGAGATAGTGATGGGTTGGGCTAATGTGCTACTTGTTTTAGTTGGATTGATATAAATTTCTTGAGTTGCAGTCCAACCTGAATTTTATAGGCCTAACAGTGATATAAATGAATTTTAAAATAAAATTTTGATTCACCCAACATGTAAACGCATACCTAATTTGATCCATTGGCACGTTTTGGTTTCAACTAGGTATTACAACTTGGGCTTTATGGCCCTAATTCATAACATGACTCGATGCCATGCGATTTAGGGTTTCGTACTCAACGCATTTCTTCAATTTCTGCTTGTATCAGATCTCTGATCTGTTTTCTTATTCCTTCTTTATTTTGTTTGAATTTCATGTTTCTTAGGTGAAGTAATCAAGAGAGCCTGAAAATCCCAAAGTGTAAGTCCTATTTTATTTTTATAAATTGGTAATGGTTTAGTTTTCTCGCTTTTGGTTCTGTTTTTCGCACAATACGAATGCTTTTTTAGCTTAATTGCGTTGTGTTCGCTTTATTTAACTGAATATAATTGCATTTTTGGGGTCTACGTTTGTGTCCTTTTATTAATTCTCATTATAAGATTCAATATTTTGTTCACCAGAGCTTTCAAGTTCTGGAACATAATCAGTTGTTGTTTATAATTAAATTCAGTTCCTCATTCAGGCGAAATATTGATATTTATCTTGTTTAAGTCACACTGAAATGAATGCATATTGATTGGATGGTACTTTCTTTATATAACCATACTGATGCTAATTTGTTATTCATTCAAGCACTATAATCCTTGACAAAGTGTAAATATGCATTTCTCCAGTGCAGAATGATACAGTAGTAGCAAGTTCAGATAACTAATGTGAAATTTTGAGTTTGTAACATTAAATTTGTTTAGTACCCCCCAAAAAATTAATGTTAGTCTAAGAGCTGTTTGTGTATTTGCCTATACAGAGAAATAAATTGGCATGGCAGGGAAAGCTGGTGGTTCGGTGGCTAAGGCAGTAGCAGAATATCAATATCCTTGGCGTGAGAAGTTAGTGAAGTATAAGGATGAACTGGCCAAGGGTGTTTGGGGATACTGGGAGCTAGGGGCATGGAAGCCACTCAGTATCAGTGCTCGCCGAAGAGCTAGACTTCGCAAGGAAGTCCTTCTTGCTGGGGAAGATTGGCACTATGATCCTGAAAGGAAGGAGATGAAAACCAGGAGGAAGGGACATATATGTGATAGGATAGCCGCGGAGAAAAGGGCAAACACGGCTAGGCTGATGGAGAAGATGCCACAAATGTTGCTGGACTACAAGAAGAGAAGGTGGCAGAAGAAGATGAAGGAAGAAGATAAAAGCAAACTTTGATTTTGCTATTTTACAATGGCATTCTCTGTGGTTATATGTTCCATTAGTTTGGAAGGGTTTATCACGGACTGTGATATGAGAAATGGATTTACTCATGCAATGCTATGCTGCACTTGCTTTTGGTTTTGTGGTAAGGAGTTTTTGGGCTTAATGGATGATTAACTTTTGTTAATGTATTTCATCCCATAATAACCCCGTACAAGAGTATGGCCTTATGATTGTCAGGGTAAAAAAAGGCTTGCTCCAATGGAAGTTTCTGTTATATTGTTTTGGATCTGCATGGATGAGAGCATGTTGGAACTTGTAAATTGCTAATTAGGCACCCAGTGTATGTTGATTGTTGACACCATCTTGTTACGTTGTTGAAACTTAAAAATGTTTGGTGGAGAAAATAGTCTTGGGAGAGTTGCATAGGTCCGAATAATCCAGTAGTGGGTAATCGATGAAGTGGTTGCAAAACTTAAAAAAATAATTGCCTTCGTTTGATGGGTTGAGAATCGGCTAAGCACAATATTTATATATTAGGGAAAAGGGATAGGATCTTTTAACACTGGTGTCAAATTTAAAGTTTGACACCTCATCTGAGAGCCGTTAGATAAAAAAAGATCAATGGTGTCACATGCTTACAAATCAGAATCGTTGATCTTTTTTGATCTAACGACTCTCAGATGAGGTGTCAAACTTTAAATTTGACACCGGTGTCAAAGGATCCTGCCCCTAGGGAAAAATATTTGTCTTTTTAAAGGATATAATTTTATGTCATTTTAAATTTTAACCGTTGCTTTTTGTCAATCAATGGTTATAATTTATTGTGTTAAATTTATTAATTAATTATTAATTCTCAATAAATTATAACTGTTGATTGACGGAAATTAACGGTTAAAAATTAAAATGATATAAAATTATATCTTTTAAAAGAATTTTCTTACGTAGTTAATCTTTCCAAATAACCATTCGTTATTAGGGCAAAAGTCAAGCCCTGTTTAGGAACAATACTCTCATAAATACCTTGTTTTATGGATGTTAAAAATAACGGGAGCAGGAGCCAACAAAATTGGCTAAATTAACAAATGTTACAAATTAACTATCTTTATCAAAACCTGATATTTTTCTCCAAAAGCATCACCAGTCTAAAGGAAACTATCATACCAACTGATAACTGCAATTTTGCCGTACACTGGTAGAAGCTTAGAACAATAGTAATGAGTAAATAAAAGACAATTCAATAGCATGTTAGGGCATTTAGTTCTCATTCATATGCTTCTAATTGTTTTATTTATAATATTGTATTATGATTTTTTACATTTAGGCTTTCTTCCTCTAAGGAAGGGCTTATACCATAAGAAGTTCATTATTTATGACTATTTTACATTTATTCGCATCATTAGGACGTCGTATTTTTTTTTATTAGTATTAAATCCATTTTTGTAAACTTGCAACTTTGATATTTTCATGGGTTTTATTAATCTCATGATAAATGAGATAAGTTATCTCATGATAGAGACAAATTTGTGGACTCCACCATCTGAAAAATAAAAAGAAAAGAAAAAGGTGGCACAGTTATCGAATGGTGTGTAGGATAAAAAGTTGTCACATGTAGCATAAGAGTAGTTTTTCCCTTTTTATTTATTTATTTGTGAAACCTACGTTTAGGATGCAATATATTAATTTGGAGTCCAATAGCCATTGTGCTTGTGCATAGTGGGCCATCGACTTCAAATTTGAAAAATTGGACATTTGTCTAGGTCAGTGGCCCTCTAACCCGGTTCACGGTGCATTTCAGAAAATAATTTCTTAAATGTTTAAAATTTACAAAAATGTTTCATGTATCTTCATATCTATTATTTTTCTCATAATCTCAATTCTTTTCAGGCATTCATGTTATGATTTAAATTAATTCATGAACTATGCGTGCCTCTTAGAAACATGAAGTTTTAAGGTATTCACATTGTTTAATTTTGAATGCTTTAATTTTAAGATTAATCAAGATATGTAGGTATTATATCCCAATTTGAAAAATATGTTAAAACAAAATAATTGAAACAAGTGTTCCTCTAATAAATGTGAAAATATGTCAAATGACTTAAGAAGGACCTATTACCTAATTTATTTAGTTAACAAGCAATGTTTAAGTTTTTGAAAAACTGTTTCTTAAATTTTTTAAGAAAAATTATTTCTTGAAAAAATTCTTTAAAAAAATTATAAAAAAGTGATTATTATTATTTAAATAAGTTAATGTAACACTCATTAAATAGATAAGATAAGGCTTAGGCCTTCAGTTATTTAACCTTTGAGATTAACTTATTTCTTTATTATTTAGATATAAAACTAAATTTATTACGCTTACATAATTTATTGATTATAAACATATTTTACACGTAATTTATTACAAGTTATGACATTTTTTAACAAATCTTTGTCTTTTTAATATATTTAAATGTCTTCATATGATGTAAGACTTTAAATATGCTTTCAAGTTAAATTTTTATATTTCATAAAAGGCCAAGCCAAATAAAAAAAAATCCATAATAATTAATAGAGTAAGTTTCAAATTCGCATCTTTAAAGCATATCCTTTGTCTTTTTGAGTTAACCCAATATTTTTTGAGTTGAGTTAGAGACTAATCCGGAATGCGAGAATAAGTGAGAAATGAAAATATTTAAATTCTTCTTAATAGTAGTATGTGAAAATTGAACCAAAATCCTTTCCTTTCTATTTAATCAATTCTCTTGCCATCAACCGAACCTTCACCCTTTGCTCTTTAAAGCAAATCCTTATCTTATCTATTTCTACCCTAGTATTTGTCAACTAGAAATCAACGAAAAAAATCCAGCTAATCGATATTTTCATTGTTTTGTTTGTTTGATGCAAAGTTCTTAGATACCAAGAAACGCGGGACGGCAAATGATGAGAACGTGGTTACCTTAACTAATTAAGAAAGTTGCACACGGCACCAATACATGAGAAGCTAATTAGTGTTGAAGCAAGGCATATATGCCCAAAATGATGGAAACAAAAAGAATTTACCAAAAATATATATAATCAATGAAAGGAAAGATAAATTATACCAAATGGTGGTAACTCTGTTAGAGTTAATGTATGAGAACTGAGTAGGTGAGGTGAGAGTAGGTGTTCGATCATCTCCAGTATTATTTTTTAGAGAAATTTAAAATCTTAATTCTGAATCCGTTTCGAATTGAACTAGTCAGGAAATAATGAATAGATTGAAATATTTAAAAAAAAGAAAAGAAAAAATAAATAAATTATAGTTTAACTAATATTAATGGAAAGGAACTCATATTTTGTGTTCTTTATATCTCCGGTTGGCCAATCCTATTCTTTCCATAATACAATTTCAATTAAATAAAAAAACCATACATCTCTTATACGTCCTATGTTTCTTTTATTCTATTGAAGGAATAAAATTAGAGATATGAGAAGGAGAATGCTTTTATTTTTCGAATATATCTTAGCAACTCTTCGCTTGTCGTGTCGTGTCTTCTTATATAACTCCGTTCCTTCTGTCAGAGATTTAGTAAAATTGTAGTAAATAATAAATGAAAAATTATAAGAAATTTTTCATCTAATATTAATTTTAATTAAAAAATTTATTTTAACTGAAAACACAAATTATAAGCAACTTCAGTGTACCTCTAAAGACGACCAAGAAAGTTTCTAATACCCTCCTTACAAAAATGAAAACAACATGGGAGTACAGTTAATATCGGAAACTTCAGCAATAAGAATTAAATAAACTATAAAGTAACGAACATTCATTTTTTTTGTCTGTAAATTTTTAAATTCTGGGTCCACTCGTCTTCATTTTTCATTTTAAGTGTCATCATTTGTAGTGTTCATTTTCAGGCTCACGGCCATTCACATTACACACTCATTTATCCCTCTGTTCTGCATTAGGGTTCAGGGTGGAGATCGAGTTTTCTGCAGAACCTTGTCCAAAGCTTGAAGCTTTAAGGGTTCCACGTGCCGATATAAGTGGGTTTCTTCCCAATTTGTTCATGCCTTGTGTGACATTGGTCGATTTCTGAAACTCGATCTCTTCCCTCTAATTGAGGTTTGGCCATTCATATTCTTATGAAAATACTCACTTCCATTTGTTTAATGCATAACCGTATGAGGTTTTGTTAAAACGTTGGACGGGGTTTGCTTTCAAAATTCGGTCTTGTAAGGATAGTGCATGGGTTTGAGGAAATTGTTGATGTCTTTGTAGAGTGTGTTGTTGTAGTTTTGGTTGGATTGTGTTTTGAAGATGAAGAGAACGAAAAGTGAACCCTCCAATTCGAGGAGGTTTAGATTTTCTCATTTTTTGTTTGGCATTGGGGTGTTGTACTTAATTTTTATATCATGTAAGTTTCCACAGTTTTTAAGAATTTTATCAACGTTAAGTGGGGATGAGAGTGATGATAGATTGGATGGGGCAGCTGTGGGGGGCTCTGAAGATTCAGATTTAAGCAAGTCTTTTGTGAGTTCTGTTTATCAAGACGCGTTTCACCGGAGATTAGAAGATAATAGGGACCAGGGTGCCCCCTTGAGGCCAAACAAGGAGCCAATGAAGGAGGAAGAACATGGTCCCGAAGCTATGAAGCAGATTCCGCTGCGATATGGTAGGATAACTGGGAAAATCATGCAGGAACAGATGAGGGCAAATGATTTGCCTGTGCTTGAGAGAATGGCAGATGAGGCATGGTTGTTAGGGGGAAAGGCTTGGAAGGAAGTAGATAAGGTTGATGAGGAGTCAGGAGAAAGCTCTATTCTTGAAGGAAAGCCAGAGTCATGTCCTTCTTGGATATCAATGAGTGGGGAAGAATTGGTTAAAGGCGATAGTTTGATGTTTCTTCCTTGTGGGCTTGCAGCCGGTTCTTCAATCACTGTGGTAGGGACACCCCATTATGCTCATAAGGAGTATGTTCCCCAGCTTGCCAAGTTGAACAGAGGTGGAGGGATGGTTTCAGTTTCACAATTCATGGTTGAATTGCAAGGGCTAAAGTCAGTGGATGGGGAGGATCCTCCAAAGATCCTTCACTTGAATCCTCGAATAAGAGGGGATTGGAGCAAACAACCAGTTATTGAGCATAATACCTGTTACCGAATGCACTGGGGAACATCTCAAAGATGTGATGGTCTGCCATCTGGAGATGAACAAGAAATGCTTGGTATGACTAATCATATTTCATATTCATTTTGAAGCATGTTGTTTAGATAAGAAGTGTTTCTGGATAAAGTCTTTATTGTCATCTTTGTAAAATAAAAAATGTATTTGATATTCTCATAGGGATGGAATAAGAAAAGTAGAAAAAATGATCAAGAAAATAGGAAGCACCTTATTACTTAGTCATTTCATGGGAAAAGGTTTACCTGGTTGGTATATTTTATATAAAGCTATAAACATAAGGCATGTAATGGTTATTAAGTTATACAGTTAATATACCATACTTAATAAATATTATCTTAATATTTAGTTGTTTTATTAATATTTTTTCTTTTGTCATCAATATGATATTCCAGTTGTTTGTGGTGATGTCTAATATCTGTTTACTCTTCACTTTTGTATCCTTATAACTTTTTTATTATATTTGGCAGTTGATGGGTACAGACGATGTGAGAAATGGATGCGGAATGACATTGTAGACTCAAAAGAGTCCAAGACGACTTCATGGTTTAAGCGGTTTATAGGGCGTGAGCAGAAGCCAGAGATGACCTGGCCATTTCCTTTAATAGAGGGTAGAATGTTTGTCCTTACATTGCGTGCTGGTGTTGATGGATACCATATTAATGTTGGGGGTCGCCATGTAACATCATTTCCATATCGGACCGTAAGTATCTTGTGATAATATAGATGCTTTCATCTAATGCTTGTACTAAATATCTTATATAGTGCGGAATTACATATCTACCTTCTTAATGACAATAATCTGTTATGAGATAAGTTTCTTAGTGTAATTGCTTTTGCTCGACTGCATTGAAGTTCAAAAACTTCTGGTGAATTCCTTTTGCGTTTATATGGGGTTATAGATGGAGAGTTTTGGTTTACCTTCAATAATAGTTTTGAGATAATTGGAACTTATTTCCATTTTCTGTAACCCATGCTGCTGTGGTCACAGATTTTTTACTGTCTGTCTTTTTCTTTAAACTTTATCTTCAGGGATTTACACTCGAGGATGCTACAGGATTGGCAGTTAAAGGGGATGTGGATGTTCATTCAATTTATGCTACATCTCTTCCTACCTCCCATCCAAGTTTCTCACCTCAAAGAGTACTGGAAATGTCAGAGACCTGGAAAGCCAGACCATTACCCAAACATCCTATTAGACTTTTTATTGGAGTTCTTTCAGCTTCAAATCACTTTGCAGAGCGTATGGCGGTTAGAAAAACTTGGATGCAATCAGCTGCAATCAAGTCGTCAGATGTAGTAGTACGATTCTTTGTTGCACTGGTAAGGTTTCTGTCTTTATTTTTATCTTGCTTAGAAGCATATAGTAATTCACTCAGGACATGAGGATAAAGAGATTCATGATACCAAGAATGCCGTAAAGCAGCAGTAAAAACTTCATGAAGAAGAGAAAGACAACCTTCCTAGGGTTATTTTATGATAAAATTTTGGGATTAAATCCTGAAGGAGCATTGACAGAATCTCTGGTTTGACCACCATGTGGGGTTTTTTTGTTGGTCATAAAGATATTGCACGTAGAAGTTGCAGTTATTACTTTGGGTTTTTGAAGAGCTAGGATCATATTCATTTGTTGGGTACGGGTGAGGTCTTTCAAATAAAATAAATATATTGGAAGAAAACTTGAGTTCTTATTATGTGTTTTTCACATAACTAAGCATGTTAATGATGCTAAATTGGTGGATTTTGGTGCTATAATTGGCATTTGGGTGTTGGAAGGTATGACTTCTGATTTTCAATAATTGGTGAAATATATTTGGATCTAATAAAGCCTGAGTTGATTTGCACTGCTGAAATTTATTTTAAAAGTAAAAGGGAAGGGAAAAAAAAAGTATGCTTTAAGACCAAAGCTCCTTATGCAATACTGGCATTAGTCTTTATAGATTTTGAACATCTTGCAAAAATGTGATCCCCATTGGCAATGGAACTGACTGGGTTTACTGTGTGACTTAAGCATGCTATGTGAATGCTAAGAAACTTTAAATAAGAGTAGCTGTCACCATGGCTAAAGTCATTCTTGGGTTGTATGAAGCTATCCTCTTTTAATAAGATGTCTACAAGTTTGATTCTTGCAATCATCGTCACTCAATATAGCTGCTATAAATAAATAGGAATTGTATGAGGCTGGCGTTTCAGGGTAAACCTTAAATCATTACCTCAGTTGATATTTGGGAACCTTGACTGATGCATAATACTTCCTAAGTTTGTAATCCTCCAGGATTGGTTTGTTAACATCAATTTTCCACTTTTGGCTGAGTGTTAGAAAACAAATACGTGTGGAGATATTGGAGTTACATGAGATAATTTCTATGTTGAAATATCTATTTGAAATAGAATACAATTGCTGAAGATAACATCATTAGTTCAATAAATACACAAATAGATAAATACATGAAATGTGCAATCAGTGTGTGCATATAAATTTGAGTTTGGGGATTGTTTGGAATTCTTTGATGGCATTGAGTGTATTTTCATTTTCTTTGTATTGATATGCTATGGCTAAATTTTCTGTTTTGTGCCTGTTATAAACATCAACTGAAGAATCCAAGGAAGGAAGTAAATGCAGTGCTGAAGAAAGAGGCTGCTTACTTTGGTGATATTGTCATTTTGCCCTTTATGGACCGCTATGAGCTTGTTGTGCTTAAAACTGTGGCCATTTGTGAGTTTGGGGTGAGTTCAATGTTAAACTTTTAATCCGCTTACCCTCCAATTCTTTTGTTTTTTTAAAATGTGTTCTCTTATGTATTAAGCTAATTTTCGTTCATGCAGATTCAGAATGTGACCGCTGCATATATTATGAAATGTGATGATGATACGTTTATTAGGGTGGATACTGTCTTGAAGGAAATTGAGAAGGTACCCCAGAAAAAGTCCCTTTATATGGGCAATCTCAATCTCTTGCATCGGCCTCTGAGAAATGGCAAATGGGCTGTCACTTACGAGGTATGATAGTTGCAACATATTTAAGCTGTCTTTTCTTTATTTCTTTTGTTTAATCGATCCTCACCGCTATCCTTGCAAAGTCGGGGGAGTCTTTGTGCACTGGAATTTATGCTAATTGAAACATTCAATTACCAGCTCTCCTTGGATCTTAAATATGGAGTAATTGAATTTTATAATTGACATGTTGCAGAGATTGCATAGAGTGTTATTATTTGTTCTTGTTCCATTCTCTGAAGGGTTACGTTTTGTTGTTGCAGGAGTGGCCAGAAGAAGCATATCCTCCTTATGCAAATGGGCCTGCATATGTAATTTCCAGTGATATTGTTACTTTCATCCTATCACAACACAAGGATAGGAGATTAAGGGTTAGTTTTTCCCTTTTTCTTTTAGCATCTTTTACAGTTACTACCAAGTTGGCACATCAATATCAAAATAAATTGATAGGTGATTGAAATATAATTGGGGTGTGATGGCAGCTGTTTAAAATGGAGGATGTAAGCATGGGAATGTGGGTGGAGAGATATAACAATACAGTGGGAGGAGTGCAGTATTCCCACAACTGGAAGTTTTGTCAGTATGGATGCATGGAGGGTTACTTCACTGCACATTACCAATCACCAAGGCAGATGATCTGTCTATGGGATAAATTGTCAAGAGGTAGACCTCGTTGTTGCAACTTCAGATAACCAACTTTCCCACTTTGATTTGCCACTGTATCTTTGTATTCTTAATCCCTTGTGCTGATCTTAGTGCACCTAGGTTAATATTTGGAGAAATTTACAATGATAACAAAAGGTATTACAAATTCAATTTGCAAGAAATAGAATTTTGGCACCATTCTAAAAGTCTTGCACCTATTTTTAAGTCATTTATCTTACTTATATCCAACGTCTTACATGACTAATATATTAGTCATTAAATTAAGTGTGATTTTAGCCGCTGATCCCTCTTGTATCTCACGTGATTAATAAATAAGAAATGTTGGTTGCAAGTGGAATAATAATTAATAATGGATGTTGTTTTTTACGGGTGTTGTTTTTCTCCTGTTGTAGGAAAATACAACACTCTTCCTACTGACACTTGTGCTTCCTTATTTTTTTTAGTTTGTTTTTAGCCAATGGGACTCACGAGGGAAAGAATTTGGTTTTTCCTGCAGCATAAGAAGAATAATTTTCTTTTTTTTATTACCTAAAATGTTATGTTTTAAGATGAATACATTTTTTAAAAAGTCTTAATTTAGGTAATAAATTAGGTTTGACTAGACCTAATATAGTAATGCCATAATATATAGGTATGTCATAAGTTGTCGACGGTATTTTGGCCTGTTTTTGCCATCTTACTCTATAGTTGGTCTTCACTTATTGGATTAGAATTTTAAAAGATTTTTTTTAAGATAAAAAATCTTATGAATTTTAAAAAATTATATAGAATTGGAGGAATTTTAAAGATTTTTTTAGAAAACTTTTTTTACAATCAAGATTTCATAAGATTAGATTTTAATAGAATTTATAAGATTTGAAAGGATAATATAGGTTTATAAGATTTTATAAAATCATATAAATTTTTAACAAACATTCAAAATTACAAGAGTAAAAAAAAATAACAAAGAAATGCAATGTATTAATAAAAAAAATAAAACATAATATAATTTTCTCAAGTAAAATGTAATATAATTTTTAACAAACATTCAAAATTACTAAACAACAACTCCACACATTTAAAGTTATAGGGATAGGATATTGTTACTACCACATCTTAATCGTTGATTTTCGTCAATCAACGGTTATCATTTATTGCGAATTAATAATTAATTAATGAGTTTGATTTGAAAAATGATAACCGTTGATTGACGAAAATCAACGGTTAAGATGTGGTAGTAACATTATTTGGTTGTCACAATATCCTATCCCAAAGTTATATTAGTCCTCTATGTATTAGCATTTTCTCATTCCTGCTCTTGGGTTTAACTAATGGATTGAAAATTATCTTCTTTATTTGGTATTAGAGCTATGCATATATGATTATAAGACCCAAATTTTTGTATTTATTAAAATAATTCTAAATTCACATATAGAACCTAAAGTTCATAATAAAATTTTGTTTGAAATTTTTTGCAATTAATCTTGAAAACTTTGGGGTTTTTATTCTACGTGTTGAGAGTTTTCTAACCATATATCATATGCATGTTTTCATTGAGTATTCTAAAAAAAATTTGAATCTGAATTTCTGGGTTTATTACATGAAAGTTTAGAAAATTTCTCAAATTATTTTCAATCGATACATTGAACTTTGAATTGCTTTGGGACTTTTGAAAAATAAGTCTTTAGCTATCTATTGACACAAAAATTGTATGAAATCGTTTTCTATAGCGAAAAAATTTCGTTTATTGTTACGAAATATAGGATTTATATTATGAAAGTTTCAATCTTTCTTTAAATTGATATTGTTTCATTGATGTAAAACAAAAATTGATTTGAGGGTTTTAGTTCCCCTATTGTTTTTTCATTGTTTTATGTTGTTTTAATACAAAAATCATACCTTTTTCTGCAGAGAAAAATTGCGACCCATTGCTTTGAAAAATTATTTTTTAAACTTCCAAGAGCTCTCAAAAATCTACTATTTTTTAGATGGATTATAATAGAATCTTGTTGGTTTGTTGTTTCTGAGTTGTTTTGTGATGAAAATCGCTCAAATTTTTTTATTGTTTTTGAGCTTTGACGAAGTTCCCATGGTGAAACCTGATTTCGAGCGGGTCAACCCGTCAAAGGAAGGAGAAGACATAGAAATCTCAAGAAATCCTAGGCGTTAGGGTGAGATTGTGAGAGAGACATCCTATTTATATTTCTCACTAAAAAGTCTTACAAAATTCACATCAATAGAAAATCCATTAAATTGTCAGATTTTTAAATATCACAATATTATTTTTCCTTTGTTTAAAATCCTGATTGAATACCAACGGATTTGGACGGATTCTAAAATAATTTTTAAAAATCCTAATTGAATACTACGTGACTTTTTTTCAATCCTTTAAAATCTTAATTGAATACTAATGAATTTTTTTGTCTAAAAGTAATCTATTAAAATCTTTTAAAATCTCAATTCAATATATCGCACCTTACTATCTAAGTGAGGTAAACTACTAATTAAGATTAAGTGAATTTCTTTCATCAGCCCACGTTGAAAGAAGGTTGTCAGTGGAGGAAGATTATGAATTAATTCGAAGTGGCCCAACGTCAATAGTGGTGCTACCTGGTAATTATCATATCTGGGCCCATCTCTAGTAAGTGAAGGGGCAGATAAGGGTTTATCAAAATATTATATTAAGTTGGGAGCTCATTAAAAATGCAGTCACGACCAATTTTACAAAGAAAATCAACTGCTAAAATATGACTTTTATGAAAGAAGCCCATGATTAAATCATGAAAAATTTAATAAATCTCAAAATTTAACTATTAGTCTTTCAGTCTTTGTATGATTAATCCCATATTTTTTCAAATATATTTTAGTACAATTCGTTTACTTGCAAATATTTTTAAGACTTCACAATAATACGCTTGCATAGTCAGTTAAATTTAAATTTGAAGAATGAGTCATGTGGGAGATTCAATGTCCCATGGGCCTTAATCTTTGCTACAACGGTTTGGCATGTGTGGACTTGGAGAAATGGAATAGTGCATGAAAATTAAATGAATTGGCAAGTTTACAAGGCCCAGACAATCAAGAATAAGGTAGTGTAACTCTAAATCGTGTGAGATGCGACAAGGGCCCAACACTAAGAGGAATCAAGATGTCATCCCTATTGGTTTGGTATAGTTTGCTGGCACTTTTGGCATGCTCAAAACAAATTCATTTTTGAGGGGGAGACTTTCTCCCCTGGAACCATAATTAGGAAGGCAGTGGAATATGCTAGGAGCTGGGAGAATGCTAATGCTAAGCTAACTAAAGGTGGCTTGCGACCATGTGATAGAGAAGACATATGATACATTGGAAAACTCCTCATCCAGGTTGGGTCAAGGTAAATGTCGATGGGTCTAGCAGGAATGGAGGCTTATTTTCTAGCTGTGGGGGTGCTATCCGGAATGAGTCTGGTAACTGGCTAATGGGCTTCCATAGAAACACAGGAAGTGGCATAGCTCTTCGTGCGGAGCTTTGGGGGCTAGTCCATGGGGTTGAGCTTGCTTGGAATGCAGGATTCATACAGGTTTGGGTGGAGAGTGACTCCCACGTTGCAGTTCATCTCGTTTCTTCCGGTTGCAGCACCCATCATCCTCTCGCTGCTCTTGTTTCTAGAAGTAGGAGATGTCTATCAGGCCCTTGGTCGATCATCGTAACTCACTCTCTCAGACTGGCTAGCAGGGTTTGAACACGCTCATGAAGACTGGAATTTATGTATTCTAGAGCAACCACCTCATGGGTGTATGTCTCTTCTTCGTAGGGATGAGATGGGGTTTGGTAACCTCAGATTATGTAACTAAGTTTGTGCTTTCCTATATATATTCAAAAAAGAAGAAGATTAATACGGGCGTAGCAGCGAGAAATCCAAGGGGCGAGAGAATATTCAGTGCTCTCGATCCACATGCACCTAGAGGAGAGAGCAAAAAAGTGAGGAGGAAGGAGAGAAATAAAGGTCGGACCATTGAATTTTTTTCCTAGGGGCAGATCAGCCTGTGGGAGTGTAATTAGAAATATCACTGGTTTTCGGCTTCAAGGGTTTGCCTACCACATAGGGCAATGCTCAACCTTTGTAGTTGAATTATGTGGTGTACTCAAAGGAATAGAATTAGCCTGGGCTGGAGGACAGAGACATATAATTCTAAAAAGTGATTTAAGTTTTGTTATCACTTTGCTCACTAAAGTTGGAGGAGCAGCTCAAGAGTCTCGTCCGGTGACTCACATTCGAGCTTGGTTGTTGAAAGATAGGGAGGTTCATCTTGTTCACTCTTGCAGGGAGAGAAATAGTTACGAGGATTGGTTATTAAAGTATCCTCGAACAACCCGATAGAGAATAATTTATGTGTTTTCTCTACCCCGCCTGGATTTTGGTTATTGTATTTAGTTGATTTTTCTGACGTTTGCACTCTATGTAGGATTTCCTTGATTTATTCTTTGTGGGGTTGTTATTATCCCTATATATATATATATATATGGGGAGAGATCATTTGACTCCAGAGTAAGATTTAAAAGTCTTACTCTTCATCTCAGCCCTTGATTTCTGTTCATCCAACGGTTATCATTTAATAAGTTATAACAATTAATTAATTATTAATTTCAATTAAATGATAACTATTGGATGAACGGAAATCAAGGGCTGAGATGAGGAGTAAGACTTTTAAATCTTACTCTGGAGTCAAATGATCCCTCCCCTATATATATATATATATATATATATATATATATATATATAGAGAGAGAGAGAGGTAGGATCATTTGACACCTATGAGAAATTTGACACCTCATCTGAGAGCCATTAGATCAAAAAAGATCAACGGTGTCACATGTTTATAAATCAGAGTCGTTGATCTTTTTTAATCAACGGCTCTTGAGATGAGGTGTCAAATTTCAAATTTGACACCGGTGTCAAAGGATCCTACCTTATATATATAAGGTAGGATCCTTTGACACCGGTGTCAAATTTGAAGTTTGACACCTCATCTGAGAGTCATTGGATCAAAAAAGATCAACGGAATCACAGCTTACAAATCAGAATCGTTGATCTTTTTTAATTCAACGGCTCTTGAATGAGGTGTCAAATTTCAAATTTGACACCGGTGTCAAATGATCCTACCCCCCTCTCTCTCTCTCTCTCTCTATATATATATA